TCTTGGAAAGCTCCCTCCTCTGGCAACCCAGACACCTTGTTGTGGCAAGCTCCAGCCACAGGCGTGAGGCCACATGTCTGTGCTGACACCTCAGAGCCTGGAGCCTGCTTCGGATTCTGTGCCTCCCTCTCTCTCTGCCCCACCCTTCCTTTCTAAAATAAATAAAATAAACGTTAATTTTTTTTTTTTAATTTTAAAACAAAACCCCGCAGCAATGCACCAGCTTGGAAAAACATGTTCCGCACCTTTCCTGCCTCGATCCTACCCACAGGCTCTGTAACTGGCTCCAAGTCCTCCAAGTTGGCTTGGCGTAAGCAGCCAATTAACTTAGGAAGAAGAGCAAAAGGAAGGCATTGTGCATTTGCAAGATCAAGAACCATCCTCCCTGGGATGCCGGCTAGTGGAGTAGGAACAAGTTTGGCTGATTTCTTAGACGTTCTTATACCTAATGTCAGGGTGGTGTTGTATCCCAACAGCCTTTGCCGGTACCATCCCCGTCATCACCGCCTCCACTGCCACGGTCGGTCGCCATTGATTCGCTAACAAACACCGCCATCTCAACCTTCACAGGCACCGTCACCGTCAGGACCATTAACATCCTCTCACTTTCTACAGTTCACCCACGGCAGTATCACCATCCACCACCTTGACCTCTGACACAGTGGGCAGCTCTGGTCCCCGGAGAGCAGGTTGTCATAAAGGGCTACCGCGGGAGGTGGAGCGGAATGTTCTTCCAACTGGACTGCGCCTCCCCAGGAGGAGCACCGCCCTTCCTCAGGCTCCGTGGCCCGCTTCGCCACGAGCCCTCTCCTCACCTGGTGGAGTGTCGGTGCCACAGCCGGGGACAGCAGTTTTGGAGAGCAAGTTTAAGCATGGAGGACACTTGGCTGCCTGCGGGGGGCTTGGTGACGAAGATGGGGGTGGCAAAGAGGAAGATGAAGAAGGCCAGGCCCACGCAGCCCACGGTGATGCCGTAGCCCAGCAGGAAGTTGACGTTCTGTTGGATAAAGGCCACCACCAGCAGCGACAGCACGGCACCCACGTTGATACTCCAATAAAGCCAGTTGAAGAAGCGGCGACTGGCATGGCGGCCAAGATCCATCACCTGCTGGGCAGGCGTGAGGGTAAGGGCCCAGGAGGTCCAGGGGCACCCCGCCACGATGTGCCTGCGCCCCCTTTCCCACAGAGGCACTTCCTGGGTCAGTGGGTGAACATTCCAGCACTTTCCTACCGCCGGATCACTAAATAGACACTCAATAAATATTTATGCATTGAATGAATAAACCTTTCCCTTGGGAGTCACTTGTTAATGACCAGGACATTTGGCACAGCTGTTTTTTCATGCTCACAGCTCACGGCACCTTTTTATGTTCACCAAGTAGTGCACACAACAGATGTCTGATGCCACTCTGCTCGTTTCCGGTTGATTTCTCCCTTTGTCTTTGACTGAACAACCTTTATACGCATCACCTTTGTAATCGGAAGAAGGCCAATAAAGATCAGGTCTGTTCCACATTATTAAATAGGATGTACACATCTTACTGAAAGAACAGTTAAAAGTCTAATTGAGAATCTCCTCTGCAACTTGGAGATGCAGAGTTTTCTATTCTGGCCCATCCCTTCCCCTCGACTTGCTCCCTCTGATATACGGGCAGTCAAACAAGGTTGGCATATCAGCGAAAACAGAGGTGGGCTTGGACACAGCCCCAAGAGAGGGTTCTGGCCTGGTGAGAAAAACAAAACAAAACAAAACAAAAACAAAAAAAAAAAAAAAAAAAAAAAAAAAAAAAAAAAAAAAAAAAAAACCAAAACCAGGCCCCCCAGCAAGGGCAGAAGGACTGAAAATCTTTACCCAGGATTTGGATCAATCTGCAACAGTCAGGCCCCAGGCCCCCTTCCGGTCTGCTGGCTCGGGTCAGCTGCACTGACTGATCCCACCTCTCCCAGACCCCAGTCCCAGTTCTGACTCTGTAGATCTGGGGCAGGGACCAGGCGTCTGCATTTCTAAAAGGCAGTGAGGACTAGAGGTCAGTTCTCTAGGTGATTCTGTGCACATTACACCCGTGGCTCTTTCAACAAACCGCCACATCTCAAAACCCCAAAAAAAAGCTCTCCTTTTTGTCAAGCTTTACTTTCTGTAACTGCGTGGGGGGGAAAAGTAGGTATTTTGTTCCTTTTCCAAATATAAAATTAGAGTCCATAGGGATGCATCCCCTCAGAGGTTCTGAGGGGTCCTCTCGGCAACGGAGAAGGAGGGGCCTGTCCACTCAACGAGAATTTTTGCTGTCGACTTTCAAGCAGAAAATTAAATAAGTCCTATTACGTGCAGCCACTTCCATTTAGTCATTGGAAGTAAATGAATACGACAATTGCAACTCTAAGGGGAAGACCAGCAGCCCATTCAGGATATAAATGAGCTCTCCCAAAATGAGCGCTTTGTCAAGAATGATGGATGGCCTTTTCTGAAATCAGCAAGGGTGTTCAAACCGCAGCTCCTGGGTATGGCTGTCTGCCAGACGGTGCCAACTTCTCCCACCCACACATCCTTCATCTGACCGCCCCCCTAAATTCTGCAGCAGCCCCTTACCGCTCCGATGTACCTACCCCTGTTACCCCCATCCACTCTCCACCGCAGCCAGAGACATTTTTAAAGAACTCAAATCCAGTGAGGTCCACCCCTGCCTGAAACCATTTCAGTGTTTCCAGCCTGTCCTACGTCAGGTTCGGACCCCAGGGGGCAGCCTTCCAGTCTGGCTTTGCCCCACCCAAAGGCCAAGCTCAGAAAACAGGAGAATGTGCGAGAGCAGTTATCACTGTTGATGTCACCGGAGTTCTGCCACCAGGTGGAGGGAGAGACAGGGGGCACTGGATGGCTGAGGCTCTCTGGAGGTCAGTGAGGTCAAGGGCACAGATTAAGGGCCCCTGGCGGTATACCGGATGTCAGTGAAAGAGTACAACGAAGGGAAGAAGAGGGATTCCTATTGGTCGATGTTGGGGATCTCCTAGTCTGAAGGCAGGTCAACAGCATCCAAGGACTGGACAGGCTGCCCAGGGGGCACTGAGTTCCCCGTCACCAAAGAATCCAAACAGGCCAGATGAGGAAGTCCTTGGCAAGGACACTGGAATTGTGGATGCCAGCTGGATGCAATGATTCTTTTTAAAATGTCACCCTTTATGGTGGTGAATACATACAACGAAAGAACATTTGAAAAACAGACACAATGAGGGAAAAGTACAATTAGCCCAGTGGCCTGATCACTGCTACAGTTTTTTTTTTCCTGTTTCCCGTTTTAGCTGATTCCTGGTCTTTTCTCCTATGGAAGGGCTGGAAGGCTGCCCTCCGGGCTATAATCACATTCTGCATGCAGTTCTGCCTCGATTTGGCTCACTAACACCATAGCTGGTTGTTTTAATCATATTACATATTACTTAAAATTATTGTCTAACATCCTACTGAGGAAAGCTATGAAAACATAGCCACGTGGTTAGGCATTTACTCATTTGTTTAGTAAATATTTACTGAATTTCTCCTATGTGCCATGCTCTGTCCAAAAGCATACAGAGAAACACTCATCAGTTAAAATATTTGCCCCGATGCTCCTGGGTAGTGAGTAGCAGAGCTGGGATCTGGACAAACTGGCTTGAACCAACCTTTGCACTGCTGGTCAGATAGAGGCTTTCTCCTTCCCTACCCCCCCCCCATAACACATAAAGATGGGGCTCATGTGGGCGCCT